GGCTCAAAGTAGAACACAACATATTCATAATTAATCATTCATTATTATCAGACTAAAACAATAGATTTTTTTTAGCCCTGACAATATTAATTAAAGAACAAAATCTACAAAACCACTCTCCCTTTAAAATAATCTGGAGGTACACTGTTATCTCCACCTAAATATAGATATTGTGTTTGGAAACCACAAATAATGATTGAAAATGAAGGTAAATACATAGAGAGTGTCAATACAAATCTCAAGGCTATGATTCAAAGTATGTGTTTTCCCTTTAAATTGTACTGTCATGAAGTGAAAACAGAACAGCCTCACTGTAATGCTAAATGCTCATAGGTTGCCAGGATACCAAAGTCAATCTTTCTAGATGTTATGAAGCTACCATTGTCAAGGCTTCAGTATCTATGTATCCAAGGTAGTGCAAACTAAGCATACCAATGATCCTAGCTTTAAGAGTTTCAGAATATTCCATGTGCACACAACGTCATTCTGACATCTGCTTGGCTGAGGAAAATTCATCTCACAGCTCGTAGCTAAAACACATTATTATGTTTGTCTTTTGTGGCTTAGAGAAGCTTGAGGGCTTTCCTAACCGAGAGGCAAAGGTGCACTAAAACATACCAGCTTATCAGAACCAATGTTTAATTGATCTGACAACTCTAAACCGTTAAAAGCTAAAATATGATCTGGTCTTAAATGAACATTTCAAATAGAAGAATTACTTTAACTTTAACTGTAGCTTAGCCTCGGGGATAACAGGGATAGCCACAGCAAACTACTGGCCAATTTCTATCTGCCAGACAATGTGATAAAAAACCATTTGATAAAAAATTTGATAAAACAAGTATGTGTCCCTGCTAAAACTATAATAAAAACACTTTTTTTTAATAAACTGAAATTAATCAGACTGGGGTGCTGCTCTATGTAAGCCAAGCAAATTGTTAAAAGAAAAAACAACAATTTCACAACCAAATGTGCATTGCCAGTGTACACTGTCACTGATCATACTGTTCTGAATCATTACATACACTTTTAAGGTATCACCCAAGTATTTTATTAAAAAGAGTAGTGCATTTTCAATGTTGTCCTCAAAGTGGCATGACAAGACCCTCTACCTGTTGAAAAGTATTGTTTTTAAATATGTTAGCATGCGTAAATGCAACTCGTGGCCATGCAAGACTTCCAG